TCAGAACAAGGCCTGGGGCACTTTTTGTCGCTTCCCAAGTACTAGGAAGAAGATTGAATTTAAAAAAAAGTAAAGGAAAGGCTCGTTGGACAAGGAGGCAAGCCAAGAGGAGTTCGTGGATGAAGTATGTTTCCAAAGTAAACAGTTTTGTTACTTCCAAAGAGGTGTGGGATCGAATGAGAAAATTCGGGGCATTTATCTTTCTTTTAGGATACCCCTTTTACCCTCAGCTATGCCAACGTTAAAGGTCCTGGCAAATTGTCTTGCAAATTATTTTCAAGAAGTCTCTAGTTCATCCAGTTACACTGCCAAATTTCAGAAATTCAAGGCTGTAGCGGAAAAGCAGCCAATTGGTATGTCTGGATCAGATGCTGTAGAATATAACCAGCCTTTCACATTGTGTGAACTTGAGATGACCCTTGCAAATAAAAAAAGGAATCTGCACCTGGACCTGACAGAATTAAATATGAAATGTTGCGGCATTTGTCCCATGAATCCCTAGGACATCTCTTGACTTTTTTTAACCATTTGTGGGGAGCTTCTGTTTTTCCTGGGTGCCGGAAACGTGCGCATATAATTCCCTTGCTGAAACCCGGTAAAGATTCTTCACTGCCTACGAGTTATCGTCCCATTGCGCTGACCAGTTGCCTCGAGAAAACGTACGAGGGGCTGATAAACAGGCGACTAGTGCACTTTTTGGAGGCTGAAAATTTTTTAGATACGAATCAATGTGGATTTAGAATGGGTCGCTCAACCTTACATCATCTTGTTCGCCTGGAAACTTCCATACGTCAAGCTTTTGTACATCGACAGCACTGTGTGTCGGTTATCTTCGACCTAGAGAAGGCTTACGACACTACTTGGATTTATGGGATTCTCAAGGACTTGCACATGTATGGCATTCGTGGCCAAATGCTGCGTTGCATACAAGATTTTCTTACTAACCGAACTTTTCAGGTTAGGTTTGGCTCCACACTCTCTGATGTTTTTCTTCTAGAAAATGGGTCCCCCAAGGAGGTGTATTGAGGGTTACTCTGTTTGCAGTGAAGATAAACAGCCTGGCTGCAGCGAGACCCCCATCTGTCTCCTATTCGTTATATGTAGACGATGTGCAGATTTCCTTTTCTTCCTGCAACCTCTCGAGTTGCGAGCGCCAACTGCAGGTCTCTATAAATAAAATGAGTAAATGGGCCGATGAAAATAGGTTTAGATTTTCTCCTGAAAAGACAGTATGCGTGCCCTTTTCTCTACGGCGTGGCCTCTCACTTGAGCCCAGTTTACAACTCAATAGTATATCTGTACCTGTAAAGCAAGAGCACAAGTTTTTAGGAGTTGTTTTTGATAAGAAACTTACGTTTTTGGCCCATATCAAGGAACTAAAGAAGTGCCTGCAAGCGTCTAATATCCTCAAAGTACTCTCCCACATGTCTTGGGGGTCTGACAGGCGATGTCTCATGCGATTATACAATGCTATAGTTCGTTCCTGTTTGGACTACGGTGCAATTGTGTATGGATCAGCACGGGAATCTTTTTAAAAAATGCTAGATCCAGTCCATCATCTTGGCCTTCGACTTGCTACACCAGCTTTTCGGACTTCGCCTATAATGAGCTTGTATGCAGATGCTTATCGAATTTCTTTAAGAAAAAGGAGACAATATCTTAGCCGTTGTTATGGATACAAAGTTAAATCGGACCCTGCACATCCCGCCTTTAGCTGTGTAAAGACTTCTCTCGTACGACTTTTTGAAAGCAAGCCAAGCATTGTGCGACCATTAAGCTTTCGGCTTCAAAGTATTTCAACCTCCTTGCAGCTTGCAATCCCTGAGAATAGCATGATTACAAGGGTCGAGAGCATTCCTCCCTGGAGTGCCGGAAAAGTTTCATGCGCCTGGTCACTGGCCAAGTTTCCTAAGAAATCAGTCGAACCTCTCGTGATTCAGCAGGAGTTTTTAGCATTGCTGGAGAAATATCAAGATTGCATACAATTTTGTACTGATGGTGCCAAAACCTCATCCTACGTAGGTTCTGCAGTGTTTTCACCACATTACAAGAAAGCAAGACGTATCGATAGCATTGCAAGTATCTTAGCTGAGCTTTATGGTATAATGATGGCCCTTGAACATATCTTAGAGAATCATGTGATGAAAGCTATTTTGTTTTTTGACTCTCAGAGTGCCCTCCTCTCAGTTTGCTTCCTTACCGACACGAAAAACTGGCTTACACAACAAGTGCGTGTAAAGCTGCACCATGCTCTCCTACTTGGACTCGATATTAAATTCTGCTGGGTACCGAGCCATGTATGAATTATCGGTAATGAAAGGGCAGATGAGCTAGCCGCCTCTATCAAGGATAAGATTAAAATATCCCTTAAACTGCCATATGAAGATTTTAAGCCAGCTTTCAGAAGAGCAATTACTAAGGTATGGCAGTCAGAATGGGATAGGGAAATAGATAATAAACTACACATTATCAAACCTTGTTTGGAGGTGTGGGAGAGCTCCCATCGCAAGAATCGTTTCCATGAAGTTTTGATGTCTTGATTGAGGATTGGCCTCTCGCGCTTGACACATCTGCATTTGTTTTGTGGTGAAGATGCTCCACAGTGTGAGCACTGCGGCAAAGTAGTGACATTATTACACATCTTGTGGAATCGCAGGCACCTACATGAACAGCGACGGGCATGTTTTCCAGAACTTTTTAGATGTCATCTCCCGTTTCACCGAGCCTTCCTTCTTGGCGATAAACCACTAGTCCCTTTTCGACGTGTTTTAGAATTTCTTGAAAAACTGGCTACATACACCGGTTGCAAGTTTTATTCATAAAATATATCACTCCCATTGTAGATATCTTAAAATGTTGTAGATTATGGTCAGTGTGTAATCTTAAAATTCATAGATATAGTAATTTTTTATACCCAGAACTCATGTTTATGTGATACACGATTCATGTTGATAGTCTACTATAGCTTTGTTTCTTCAACCCTTATTTCTGCAATAGTTTATGCACTTGGCGCATTTTAGCCCTGGTAGCTCTCGCGCCATAAAGCTCAAATCAATCAATCAGTGGAAAAATAATGGGTGTTGTTTTAAAAAATCGTCGTGAAGTATTGCATGGTGATAGAGCTTGTGAAATAATTACAGACGGCCATGTTTACGGCGGCGTCATAGGTCATGCAACTCAGCTTTATATTTTTAATGCGGTGACACTGGAAAATGGAGAGTAGTCAGAGAAAATGAAATGCGCACCACGGTTTTGCAGCGACTTGACGTTACTTATAATCAAGGTTTGATCAGGATCCCAAATGGCAGAAGCACGTTCAATTTTGGGGCGGATTAGAGTGATACAAGCAAGTTTACGAAAGTTAGCGGGTGTTTGTTTAAGATTGTGCTTTATGAATCCAAGGGAACGGTTAGCAGAATCAAGGGTGAACTCAATGTGCTAGTGCCAGGACAAATTAAACTGAAAGTGGACACCCAGGTACTTATAGGTAGAAGTGAGTTCAACAGTATTGTTATTCAGAAGGTAAGAAGTTGGAGTCTGAGAGGAGCATTTGTTAAACGACATATGTTGTTTTGTTGTGGTTGAGGGTCATTAGCCACGAAGAACACCACGCCGTTAACTGGTCCAGGTCTAATTGGAGAGCTTGGCGATCGGTGTTAGAAGAGATGTTACGGTAAATGACGCAGTCGTCAGCAAAAAGGCGGACATGAGATGAAGCGCAAGTGGGTAGGTCATTAATGTATATGATAAAAAGTAATGGACCCAGCACGCTGCCCTGGGGAACTGCAGATTTCACTTGGGCACAAGAGGAGATAGAGTTGTTAAGGGAAGTGAACTGAAGTCTATTTGAGAGACAGTCTTTTATTCATGAGAGAACATTAAAATGAATGTTGAGCTGTGCAAGTTTTAGTAGAAGCCTGTAATGAGGAACGCGGTCAAAAGCCTTTGGGAAGTCGAGAAAAATGGCATCAACTTGTGAACCAGCATCAAGAGATGTATGTAAGTCGTGAACGAAACCGGCAAGTTGGGTGTCACATGAGTAACCCCTGCGAAAACCGTGCTGATACTTGAAAATAATGTTATGGTCCTCTAAATAGCGCATGACTTGAAACTGCATGATGTGCTCTGGAAGTTTACAAATAGTGCTGGTTAGTGAGATAGGTCGATAGTTCAGTGGGGAGCATCGATCACCAGATTTGAACATGGGAGTTACCTTGCCTATACGCCAGTCTTGAGGATATAGACCTGTAGAAAATGGCTGCGAGAAAATGGCTGTCAAGTCTCCAAAAATGCCTTGCGCAGTATTTTTAAGTCTTGTTTTCTTATACCGGTGTGATCAGAGACAGATAATTTAAGGTTATTTTGTAGAGACAAAATGCCGAATTCTTCAATGACTATTTCGGACATAGACATACTGTTATATTCCTGGCCAGCATGTAGCGCCACGTGGTCCCCTGGTGGCCTAGTGTGACGATGACTGGAAGTGCGGCGCTCTATATTAAACATGGGGCCACCCGGCTCCCTCAGTTATTGTTGTGTTGGAACCGAACTACGTGTGTCATGCTTTCGCTTCTTGCCGCCGACGAACGTTGGCCGGTGCGAAGCGGGTTCGGTTTACACTTGTAACATATAGCATTAAGCCTGTTTAACGTGGGAGATGAAGTACTGTCCTCAAAAGTAAACACCAATGAAAATGATTCAATAAGGAGGTGAGCACACTCTGACCGGGGAACTGAAACGTCATTGTTGTCGATGAGAGACACTTCAGGATGACTATTTGGATTAACTACACCCCAAAATCGTTGAGGGTTATTTAAGAGTAACGACGACAAGTTATGATGAAAGAAATGACGGCGGGTTGATTTAAGAAGCGACTGGTAATCACTATCACACTTTTGGTAACGGAGCCAAGAAACTGATAACTTGTTCTTATCTGCTAGTCTGAACAAACGCTTTTTTTTGTTTAGTCGTTGAAGCTGCTGACTAAACCAAGGCGCACAGTTCTTGTACTTTATTGATATTACAGGAATAAACTTATAAATTAGACTAGTAAACGTATTTTTAAACAAGACACAGTTTTCTTCGACACTGCGCGATATAAATTGATGCCGGAACTGTTCTGAGAAAAGAGATAGGTCGGAGTTAAGCGCCTCAAAATAGACCCTTTCCGAAATTGGTGCTGGCAACAATGTTACGCTAATTTGACGGTACTCGAAATTTGGGCTGGCAACTATGATTTACTCGATCCGAGACGAACGCCGCCATGAGCATGTATGGCGTCGCGAGCACGAGTGCTGCTGCTTCTGGTAGTATGTCGTAGAGCAGCAGCTTGTCAGCGATTCCCAGCTCCCTGACCAATGAAAGTGTGAACGAGTACTACGCCGCTCGCAAGACCACCGACCGAAATTGACGGCGAAGCTACAAGTTCCTCACGGAGAGTTACTTGGAGCCGAGCTCCCTCGAAACTGCGACGTTTCTTCGTGGGTAAGTTTGACGATTGCGTATTTCGCTGGAGTTCGTAAAGTGATGTCTATTTTGATTCAACGCAGAACGGATACGTTCGTGGTTACGCGCGGACGATGCTTCCGCAGCCAAAAGAAGACAGGCATGCCGTACCGCACGACGGCAACGTTTGCGGCGGACGGCGCTGTTGACGCGAGCAGCTGCGAATGTGCTGCCAAGGAGGGTCTCTGCAACCATGCCTTGGCGTTGCTGCGGCTGGTTGCCCTCCTCAAGGGGCAGGGCTACGCAGAAGCTCCACCCGAGGTGAGCTGCACGGAGCTCCCGCATCAGTGGCGTCGCCCCCGTGACTCCCGGATTGCGGCCACCAGCCTCGACGGCGTTGACTGGAGGAGCGTGAGGGAAGGCGGCTCTTCCAAACCCGTCGGCTCCAGGCTATACGACGCGAGGAAGCGCCCAAGGGACCTCGGAGAGATGGAGGAGGCAATGCGCGACCTGGGAAGTGGCCTCGGGGAGTCGCCCTTCGCCAGGCACCTGGGATGTGTCCAGGTGCTGGGCACTGACTCAACTTTCGGTGTAGTCCCCGAGGGTAGCCCGCTGGCCTACCAGCAGCCCCTGGCACCACATGGCTTCCAGACATACGTGAGCCCAAACATCGCCCTGTGTGCCAGGGGCGTCTCGACAGCCCAGCAGCCCACCTGGCTTGTGCTCTTCGACTCAATGTCCACCTTCAAGCCTTCAACAGGAATCCTGGCCACTGCTGAGTGGAACCTTCTTGAGGTATTATCAACATGGGCCAAACAATATTTTTCGTATGAGTACGCAATACCATGTTTTTCTCAAACTCTAGTAGAGACGTGCTCTAGCCAGAATTTTATGGCTGGCCCATTGTGGTCAGATAAACCTGGTCTGGGCCTGCCTCTAATTTCTAATGCGAGCCCAAGCTCGACTTAGTTCTACCTGTTTTACTTGGCAGATTAACGCTGAGAAATTCTTGTGCCTTGGAATTCATACTCATGTTTACAAAATGTAAACAAGATTGTTTCATTTGCACTCAAAAACCTTGTTTTCAAAATGATCCAATCTGTTGAAAAAGAAAAAAAAACAAAACAAATAAGGTGTTATGTTTGGACAGTACGACCTTGGGCGACGAGATCGACATAAATAAGACGAGGAATGTATGAACTGGTGCAACTTCTAGCCTGGGGTTTTTAATGTGTCTTAATGCAGTGGTGATATATGACTGCAAGTTAGTGCTGTGCTCATGTATATTGAATCGGACTAGGCTGGAGATTGGACCCAGGAACTTTGAGTTCTACAGTGCAAGCTTTCTTTTGGAGCTGCAATGCTAAAAGCACTAGCACTACATTAGAACTTTCTGAAAACTGAACATCTCCCTGAGTGGCTGTCTGCGAAAACAATCATATTAGTCACGACTCACGACTGTTAGGTCTTATCTGCCTGGACCCTCCTCTTATTTTTGACTCTCACAAAATCAACATCGCGTAGCGGCAACACCAAGGAGCTACAAAAGGACGTCCTTTCGCCATAGCAGTCTGCTGTCATTTCTTGGTTCTCATAGGCAACACAGCTCCATGTAGTTGTTTATCAATGGCACCTAAATAATCAGTGTTCAGTCGTGCCATATCTATGTGAAATAAATAAGGCTACCAAAAAAGCTGAGTAGTTAGCCATTCTCTTTATCCGCGAGATGAAAAACAATTACTCGCAGCACATGTCCCATCTAGAAGCATGTATAGAAAGCCATAGACAACAGCAGATTTATATAACTAGGATTACTAAAGGCGTGCCTGAGCAAGCGGAAACTAGAAATAAATGCTGAAAAACCATCTTTGTTTCTTTTGTTACTGAAGAGCGATATCGGATTCCTCGGAGTTTAGAACTTTAGCCAATTTGTATATTCTTGCACACATTCTCAAATCTTATGACAATGGCATGATGATGGTCATACATGCTCATCCTTACGCATGCCAGAGATTATACACAAAGATACAAAATCTGCACAGTGCCACGCGCGTCGCTGAATAGTTACCGCGTTTGGCTGTCAACTCGGACAGCGGCTCACGCAGTTTGGGGTTTCTATGAAGTCGGAACAGGTGTTTGCAGCATCAATCTGTTCTCTCCAAGGCAAGTGACGGCACCGTATACACACAGAAAGCCCATGCTGAGAACGACGTCTCTTGCTCAGTCTTGTAGAACTACAAATTTCATAAGTGCACTGCTCGCGGCATTCGTCGTTCTACAAGACTGTGCCAGATACGTCATTCTCGGTATGGACTTTCTGTGTCAATACACCGCCGTCATAGACCTTGGAGAGAACAGATTGATGCTGCGGACACCTGTTCTGCCTTCAGAGAAACCCAGAACTGCATCAATCGCTGTCCCAGTTGAGGTTCAACATGGCAATCGATGGACAGGTAGCACGTCATCCTCAGTAACGATGTGATGTTTCGCTATGGTGGTTTGGTACACCTCTGAAGACATCGCGAGGCTGTCGCTGTATTCGGTGAGGAGGTCACTTAGCTGCTGTCGTTTTCGTCCCGGAAACTTGGGCTCGATGTCGAGCTGTGCTGGCGACGTACAGTCTTGTTGACGCAGCAATGATTGTTCACTAATCGCGGTGATTTTGGCAGAGTTTCGGAGTTCTTCAACGTAGCCCACAGCTGCACCTTTAGTGAGGTGTTCCGTTTCTTGTTGAAAGTTTGTCATGAGGACCACAGTGCGCATATCGTGAAGTTCATCTACTCCTCTTGCGATGCCTATTCCTCGTCCCAGGAGAAACTGAAGGTTACCCTCGAGAACAACATCGCTGCAGGAAGCTGCCTCGGTCACGACGGGTACAATAACACTTGAGCGCGGCGGCAGGTTCATGTGGTCGGCAGGGCTCTTGAGAAAACACGGGGAATAGTACCCCCTCGTCCTTCGAGGTGCTCGATTAGCGTGTGCAACACAGGATCGTCTCTTTGACGTCGTGCCATGTCGTCGGTGTTCACTGCGCCTAGGAAGCACTCGTCGTCGTCGATGCTACTGGGAGATGCCTTGACAGCGGCTCTGGACAGGCAGTTGACATTCGCTGTGTTTGCGGCCTGACTTGTAGACCACAGTCATGTCAAACCCATGTGTTTAGATCGAGCAGTCAGGTCCCTACCTCAGCCTGGCACAGTTGGTATAGTTCAAATTGATCTACGGAACTGCTCGGGCGTTTCCTGGTCTAGTTTGAAGGGCTCGGGCAGTCTGTTTTGATGCGACTGTCAAACAGTAGCGTTGGAACAGGTGGGGCGATAGCACCCTCTAGACATTTTTTAGTAAATGATTAAGGGGAGGGGAGCCTCCCCTGAATACTTCAAAGGACCCTTGCTGTGAAAATGAATTTTGTTTAGCTAACTTGGATCTCTTGATGCCCCCTCATTGTTTTGGCACATAAGCCCTTGACTTCTTTTTACTTCCTAGGAACTCTTCCTGACACCAGACGAGGCCCGTGAGCTGGAGCAGAACAGTCGCCAGCAGTCCAAAAGCATGTTGTGGAAAGCTGCCCGCAAGAACCGGCTCACAGCTTCGGCTTTTGGCGTGGCCAAGTCGAGAGAATCCTGGACAACTACTGGGTTGGACAACCTCACCGCTGAGAGGGATCTCTCGAAAATTAGAGCAGTCAAGTAAGAAACATACATGTTTGAGAAATTCTTTTTTTTACAGGACTATTGCTATGCAGAAAATGCACGGATTTTCTCGTGGCAGTGATATCGTGGTGGAAGCTAAACAAGTGCTTCTTGACATAGCACTTCAGGTTGCTTTGTTGAATGACATATCATAAAGCTGTTGCTTTTCCGCCACCAGGAGAGTGCTCCCTTGAGGAAAAAGAGAGCTTGCATGTAATTTTTCGTGAGTATTGCACATTCACCTATTACTGTCAAGACATTTCAGTGGCACCCTCTTATAATTTTTATTCTTGATGTCACGATGACGATTTTCGTAGCTGTAATATCACGAGTTGTAATCCTGCTATACTTATCATCAGTTGCAAACTACAGGGTTAATGTTGTGTCTAAGGACCATGATGGAAGCTTGAAGAAATCGCATTCTTAATGTAACAGTGTCAAAGATGGCAGTCTAACGTTCTTATATCCGTCAATGAGAGCAAATTTAATCCAAATAAACACGTCGAAGCGAGCATTTCGCCCGTCGTAAATGCCGACCACAGCAACACTATTGGGCGCTAGCTCGCGGCTGACGCATCTTTTGTTAGATTCGACTATACGGTCTACTTAACCGAGGTCACACATGAGTACACTGTCTGCCGCGGCCAAGTTTTCTTGTTACATGGCTTAATTCTTTGTTCTGTGGTGTCGCCTTTCTTTGCCAAGGAAAAGTTTGTTTTGTCGACCTCTGTTTGTTTGCTCTTTCGTTGCTCGAGAATTGTGATCTTCGCTGGTGAACCTTACAATTTCTGGACAACACAGATCTACAAATTACTAATGGACCCTTGATCCTTCCACTGTGAAAATGAGTTACAGCTTGAACAAAGAAAATGCAGAGTAAGGCCAACCAAGACGTGCACCCTCAGATTGTGAGGTTGAAGTTATTTAGCGTAGTACCATGTTTTGAAAAGTACAGCACGAGAAAAATGTTCTACGTTAAAGGCATGCAGACATTATTTACCATTGTGTCCATAAATAAATGTGTATTAGAGAAGCAAATATGTGTTATAAAGCATGCTATGGTGTTGTTGGGACTGAAATGTGCATTCGGAATGCAGAAAAATCTTCCACGTGAGGTGCACGCAGGTGAAAAAATCTCGGCAGTCGCCTTTAAAGACTGAATCAAAGGGTTAACAGTGGTTCTTGCATCTTTTGTAGGAAAAATGCTTGTTCACCTGCAGGGATATCCATTTCTAATTCACAACACATGTACTTCGCGCAGGCATGGCATCACTCATGAGCCACAGGCAGTGGCGGAATATGAAAAAGTTCTGCGTCACCGTGGGCACAACATCCAGACATCTTGCTGCGGTCTGGTCGTAGATCCCCGTTCCCCATGGTTGGGAGCTTCACCCGACAGAATGATCTTTGATTCTACCGAGGCCATACCTCATGGGGTGGTAGAAGCAAAATGCCCTTGCAGCATGTGGCTTGCCGCCACTCCAGACTCCTTGACTTTTTACATGGCTAAGGATACGGCGGGGGTGTACAGGCTCAACCGAGGGCATAACTACTACTATCAACTTTTAGGGCAGATGGCTCTGTCTGGCCAGGCCTGGGGAGATTTCGTAGTATACTGTAAGAACGTTTTGATTTTCGAGAGAATTGAATTTTCGCTTTCCGATTGGACCAGTTGTAAGGAGACAATGGACAAGTTTTACTTCAATACACTGCTGCCCTATCTACTAAAGAAGCGCAACATGTAAATGTAACATTTTCTTTCTTCATTTTTTTAAACACTCGTACCACCCTTAACAGGGCACTATACCACCTCCTGAGGTACTCTATTTATGGGTTTAACTCAATCTTCGGGCTCTAAGCATCCTAAAAAATCAGACATTACATTCATGCGCGACTGATTTCTTTATTAAATTAGGTAGCAAAGATCAAAGACTTCAGAACTATCGCAGACACCAGAGGGTTGCGTCAAACAAGAAGAGCTTCTTTTTTAAACCCCTCTACAACTTCTCGTTGTCCGACAGTGCCCTCTGGTGTCTGCAATAGCTCCGAGGTCTTTGATCTTCGATACAGATTTTAATAGAGAAATCAGCCACGCATGAATATAATGTTTGGTTCTTTAGGATGCTTAGAGCCCATAGATTGAGTTATGATCATAAATACACTGTTGCTCTGTGGTTCAGAGTGCACCTTTAATATCATCCAGGGGTCTCAAATGCACGGCCTGCGACTCGCTGGGATGTGGCCCGGTTCCCATGGCTCAAGCGCTATAAAAGTGGCATGCGCCTCAGTGATCTCATCTTGCCGACTCACTTTCGCTCGAATAGTAGCTCTGCTCTTTTAATGTATTCATATAGTTTATGCTTATCTGTGTTCATTCTCCCTTTCTGTTGCCGTCTACCTTGCCCCCCACACTCAAATGAGTTCGAGACCACTGATATAATCATTCTACTGGCATTCTTTGTGGTGTTACTATGCGACACTGATATGTAGACACTTCAATTTTTTCATTATTTTAGAATATCTTTTATACTCCCATCTCAGAAGTTGTGCGCACTACACTCAAATAGACACGTACAAGAACATCTCTCTTCAGCACTTTATTTGCACAAACTTGTAAAGAACATCGCTTTATAATGGCAAGTACTGTATAGAGCCACTCTTTGTGCCCATGCATTTGATAGCAATGCACACGACTTAGGAGATGGTGGTATAGAACACGTTAGTGTTCCAATCTTTTCCCTGCTGTATACCATGATCTCCTAATAATATTGTATGATATCATTATATGACGCCTGCAGCACCGACTTGTTTATGGGAGCTTGCTGAGCAACTGTTGTGCATGGTAGCACAAGAGACTTTTCTTGTCCGACTTTTTCTGTATATTGTCAGTAGTGTTGTGACACATGCTTTTCATTCAGTGTTTGAATATAGGTAGAAACTAGGTTACAGAACTATTTTTTTTTAAATATTGCAACAGATTATTAACTTGCTTGTGGAAATGTAGGCATGCGGATCTCTTTCATATCCTAAAAATATGCAGTCTCTCCAACCATTAAAGAATGGCTTCCGTAAATAAATTGATAACATGTAATGAGTCTACCTTATGCCCTGATGAAATGATTTGTACATGTTTTATAAGAATTTCGTTTATTTCTAACAGTAGTCATCTCCGAGTGACCAAATAATCACTCGCATAACGAGACATCACTGTAATGCAGAAGATAATGAGCTTGCTGCTCCTTCTATTACTGATTATGCCTTCCGTATGAGGAGCGAAACATTTATTAAACTGCTTCACCTACTCTGTCTCGGATTCATTATTTTTTTTACCCTAAATAGACTCGTCGCTGCAGCTTTTGATGAGGGGACTCTGGAAATTGCTGAGCATGGCACAAACTGTCCACATCTCGCTGGCTACTGGAGCGATTGAAATAGAAATTGGCCTGTCACAGATGTGAAAGTTCTTGATCCGTTGAATACGGTGCTCTACGTGGATGCGTAGTGAAGCAATCGCTTCGGTCTCCTTTACTTCCTCACTCGTAAAGTGTTCTTTCCGAAGGAAAGGAGGGATGTTCAGCCTCACATTGATTTTCTTTAGGTCGTCTTCAATCTTGAAACCCTTGTCTGCCATGATGGAATCTCCATCGTCGAAAGCAACCTTGAGAAAGCCACTTTTCTCCACGCATTCCTTGTCGGAGATAGACCCTATAAAAAGTTAGGAGACGAAGGTTACCGCTCCGTCTGGAAAAATCCCAATGAGCCCTTTAAAGGTATTTGTTGACTTGTAGCTTGAGAATGTCGACGACTGGAGCACGAGCGAGCTTGAAGCCTCAGACTGGACGTCTGTAGCATCAAGGATGACACGGGTGGATGAGTACCGCTCCTTGAAGGCTGGAGGCATGGCATCATCCACTTCTGCTCTGGACAACCACAGATCGAGCTGTGCAAGATGGACATACATATAGCTGATCCAAGTGATGCACACTTTTGAGACTGTGGCCACGGATACTCTGAAGCGATATGCAAGAGCCTTTTCAAAAAGACCGAGACGAAGGCGGTCAAGCAATAAAAATAGCTGCTCTCTTGACGACAAGATTGGATGCCTACCAGCATTTGTGGCCTTTCCACTATATGTTGTAGACCAGAATATTATGTTTTCTCCATTTTCTCCTGGAGCCCAAAACCGCCAGAGCTTCATGAAGTCATTGTAGTTTAAGAGGCCAGTATAAAACTGGACATCAGCTGGACTGTCCTTAAAGCACTCAATAGAAAATTTTCTGCTTGCCCTTGCCTCGAGAGCACTGCATTGTGCCAATGCGACCTCAAGCTCTCTTTGAGTTTTGAAAAGAGCCTGCTTTGTTCTTTGGAGCTCTTTTTCTTGATCGTCAAACTTATTGCATTTAGCCAGGGCACTGCAAAGCTCTGACTGGGCCTTAGACAGGGCATCTTTAGCTTCTCTGAGTTGTTCCTTGTACCTCTCGAGGTCTAGCTTGAGATCTTGGATCAGCTTTGCCTGTGACTCTGTCTGTTTTTGTAGATTTTCGAGCTGATCCATGTGCATGAAATCAGTTGGGCCACGTGTAGCAATCTGGCATGCACACTCGTCACTAGCGTTGTTGGCGACTGGGCCGATAGGAGCCTCTTCATTGACTGCGCTGTCTGTGTTATAGGTTACATGACCCGTCAAGTCTTCCATGGTGATGCTGTTGACATCGGAGACTGCATTGCTTGCCTCCTCTTGACATGTGGATTCACCTGTAGGGTCTTCACTGGTCAGATCATTGATTACGGCACTTGCCTCCTCCTTGCTTGCTGCTTCGCCTAATGCGTCTTCGCTGATCACCTTGAGGAGTGCTTAGCTCGTCACGTTGTCATCAAAAATGGAAATCCTTTGCACCACTGGCATTGGTTGTCGTTCACAGGGTTTCTTTCTTGGAGGCTTCTTCGAGACGTTGAAGGCGAACACGCTCGGCACAGCTTGTTGTTTCAAGTAGCGGCGGTTACCAGCGACGTTGGGAAGGTAATGGCTCTCGTGGAAGTCACCCGAGCAAAGCTTCGTATACTTTGTGATGGTGAAGTATTTTCCTTCATCACGTTTTATCGCAATCACCCACTTTCTACGGACAACTGGATCGGATGGGAAAGCGAAAAAGACACCTGGAAAGAAGCGAATACACAAATTTGCAAGTTGTCATAATAAATGCCCAAATATTGTCGTGCTAGACACATCTCGAAGCAGCAACATCATGTCCATTTATCACAATTACGCGCATTTCATTATTATATGCCAATTTCATTCAACACCGTTTCATTAAATGCTATTTCACCGAAGCCGTTTTATAGAACACTGCCTAGTTGAGCAGTAGGAATTCTTAATCTAGGAAATAGTTGTAACACCGAAGGACATACCAGTGTTATAATCGTCATTATGATTTATGAATTTTATTCCGTGTGTTGTGAAGCTCGCAGCAAGAAACTATTTTCGGTATTCTATTTTTTTTCATGGGAACCGAAGGCTTGTGCTGTTAATGTGGCTAGTATAAAAGAGGAACACCGACGACATTTTTGTAAACCTGTGATTATTGAGTGTCGTGACAAAGTTTCGTCTCTCCAACTCCAAGAGTGTAACCTCGTCATTGAAGCGTTATGTCTCATGAAATAAAAGATCTCTCCTCTTTGTGCACTTTCATAATCGACCGAACCGCAGATTTCCTGGCCTTTCAGCTGCGTTCTTAGAAAGAAAGCTATTCTCAACAGGTTAGAATGAAAACACTACTGAACAGATAAACACAAAATAAAGGCGCAGCGGAGATAGTTATATCTGCTTCCAGGAAGTACTTTTAATGCATAAGCATATAGGAGGATAAGGAGGCAGCAAAATATGTGGTGGAGAACAGCTGCTTGTCTTATCTGAAAAATGTATGTCACATACCCAGTCAAGTTTAGTTCTTCTTATGATTCAGTGCCACAACTTTTGGTGAAGTGAAAAGGGTGGTAGCGATATTTAAACAACTAAAAGCCCGCTAATGCTCCTAATTTCGGTGAAGTGAAATTCGATGAAACGACGTTCGATGAAATCTTTACTTGTTGGATGAAACGGCGTTCGATGAAATGCCCGGCACCTGTTCATCAGGTGCCGCTTCACTCGCAACTTTCCCACGCCATGCTCCACTCGCAACTTTCCCACGCAAGCGCTCGACAAAGCAGCACGAGGCGCTAAGCCTGCTAAATCAGCGAGTTCTCCTGTAAACAACGCATTCGCAAAGTGGCGCGCAGTCAAAGCTACAAGCGCGAGCTAGCCCGCGCTCCTGGCTTTGAGACGTGCAGCGCAAGTGCTCGTTCTGCGGAAGAAGGCTTCAAAGCAGCGACCTGAAGGGCTCGTGCTTGCGGCAATGGCTGCAGTCTCAGCTTAAGGGTGAACGGAGTACAGTCGCGGACAGGGATAAAACTATAGGGCGTTTCTTCCGAACGCCGGTTATCAAGCGCGCACTCATTGCATTTCGCCGTGCTCCGGCTGCACTTGCACGCTCGACGCTCGCGAAACGCCGACGTGTTCACGGCCTCTTTAAACGCGTTATCAAAGGTAGAAAGCTCGCATTGGAGGCGAGACAACTGATAAACAACAGACATCGTCCTGCCACTATCTATTTCACGTGTGACTACTTCAGAGCGATTTCCAATATGTAAAACTACTCGCTTGCGCCGCTTCAACGCGACCAGCGGGAAGGAATTATTTCCCACGCGAGAATATTTTGGTTTTTTGACTCAAATGGTCTTACCTTGTTTCCAGATGCGTCTTTCAGTCCTTTTTGCTTGCACAGCGGTACGCAGCAGTGGAAAGGCA